GAGCCAGCACTGTCCCTGTTGTTAGCTTTTGTAAAAACGCTCTGTTTACATGCTGACATTCCCTTTTGACATCACTTCCTGTTTCTTCACATGCAAATATCCCAACAACCATTAATCTCAGCAAAATGAAATTTGTTTTGCAATATGTTATCAATGTTGTCTTTCCAAAAATGCTTTCATGTTTATTAAAAATTTTTAACTTCACAGGCACTGCTTCACTTTGTGCAAACTGCAGTTATCAAATTCAGCATACATTTCAGGCTGAACTCCTATTTGTGGCATTTTGTCAGATCAAAAGTCGCTGAAAAGCTCTGGCTGCCACTTAGAAATGTGCTGGCGTGAATCAGAGAAAACAGGGATTTATTTTTATTAAACAGAGGGGTGAAATAAAATCTGGATTCAACACTTCCAAGTGGCAGAACATGAGCAGATGTTAGCTGGATCTCCACTAATACATAAACCTGACTAAAGTCTGAGCATTTTTTTAGAAGATATGCACATCGCACCACCTTTCAGTTTATTTTATGGTAAATTTAATGCAGTATCTGTGGAATTGAATGAGGTACACACATTTTTATGTTTATCAGTTGTAGAAACTTTGAAATATAAAAAAATCTGTTAAAAATTGTGTTCAAAAAGAGCATTGTTAAAATGATGATGATGATCAAAACTCAAAAATGAACCCCTCGTTTAATGAAAGAAAAACCCACAATGATCACAGAAATAACTAGAATTTGACTAAAATAGAATAAAACAATTCTATGAAAATGGATAAATGAAAGTCAGATATCGCTTTTCAATCATACTTCAACATAATAATAGAAAAACTCATGAAACAGACCTGGACAGAAATGATGGTACCCCTGAAAATAATGTCATAGGGTCATGTTAAATCAAGGTGTGTCCACTAATTAGTATCACAGGTGTTTACAGTCTTGTAATCAGTCAGTGGGCCTGTATATAGGGCTACAGATACTCCCTGTGCTGTTTGGTGACATGGTGTGGACCACACTCAACATGGACCAGAGGAAGTGAAGGAAAGGGTTGTCTCAGGAGATCAGCAAAAAAATTATAGACAAGCATGTTAAAGGTAAAGGTTATAAGACCATCTCCAAGCAGCTTGATGTTCCTGTGACTACAGCTGCACATATTCAGAAATTTAAGATCCATGCAAAGAGACTGATAATACAAGTGGTAACCAAAGAGCCCAGAAAAACTTTTAAAGAGATTAAAGGTGAACTTCAAGCTCAAGTAACATCAGGGTCAGATCACACCATCCATCACTGTTTGAGCCAAACTGGACTTAATGGGAGACGACCAAAGAGAATTCCAAATCATAAAAAGACAGACTGGAATTTGTCAAACTATATGTTGACAAGACACAAAGCTTCTAGGACAATGTCCTATGGACAGATGAGACAAAATGGAACTTTTTGCAAGACACAGATGGAAAACTGAAGCATAATAAGAAAAGAACACTGTCCCTACTGTGAAACATGGAGGGGGCTGCTTTGCTGCATCTGACACGGGGTTTTAAACTGTGCAGGGTACAATGAAATCTCAAGACTATCAATAGAGAGAAATGAGCTGCCCAGTGTCAGAAAGCTATTAAGGGTACCATCGTTTCTTTCCAGGCTTGTTTCATGAGCTTTATTTTTAAAATTCTGTTAAAGCGTGGTTGAAAAGCAATGTCTGTCCATTTTCATAGAATTTTTATTTATTATTACTTTTGTCAGAATATATTTATTTCTGTGACCATTGTGGGTTTTTCAAACGAGGGGTACCAAAAATTTTGTCCACGTGTGGATACAATGTTTTAAAGAAATTTGACTCCATTTTGGATAAAAGTCTGACTTACTAAAGGAAATCCATAAATTATCTTTTTATATATATAATTTTTCTCACAAACAGAGCGTACAGAAATAAATGCAAAACTCACAAACTATGAAACTAAAATACCTAAGTTTGAATACACAATTCGATTGACATTTCTGTTATTTTTGTCAGTTTGGCTTTCCTCAAGGACTTTCCTTTCTTAGTTCAGGTCTCGGATCATCTCTCACATACTTCTGGGGTGAAGCGAGGATACCCGAGTCGTCAGTGTGCTGCCTTCAGGAGACATTCACACAGAGGAGTGTCGGCAGGAATGCTCGCTCCCAGGCTGCAAATATTTGCGCCTGTTTACTGAGACTTTACAGCACATTTGTTCCTCCGCTCTGAAAGACCTGAGCGCCTCTCATCTCCTCCACAGAAACAAACGTAGGAAGTGTGAGTTATCTCATGCAGTCACCCACACTCTGTTCCCATCACAGCCCCCCCCTTTTTAGTTGTTTCTCAATAATCAAACCAGATTAAAACAATTAAAGCTTTGCTGTCATGCCTAATTTTTTTATTTTTTTGCTTTTAAACTCAGACAAAACACATGTTGTGGTTTTTGAGGCTGAGCATTTTAGGAACAAACTTTGCAGCTTTTCTCTTCCTCTGGATGACATTAATGTGGCCTCCATTTCTAATCATGTCATTTAACCTTTACATAAAAAATGTTACCAGTACTGCTGCCTTTCACCGGAACAATGTGACTAAAATAAAAAAAAACACTTTGACCCAAAATGATGCAGAGATCTGGTCCATGCATTTATGACTTCTTTGCTGGACTATTGTAATTATTTGCTATTTTGATGTACAAAAAACTCATCATAAAGTTAATACACAATGTTGGTTCTGATGAGACTTAGGAGATAACTCTTAACAACCAAGCTCCGACTTATTGTAAAGATTTTATTGTTCCATATTTTCCAAGAGCACTTGATGTTTCTTGTTAAAAGCGAGTTATTCCTTTTCACTGTCACCAACGTGCCGCTCAGGATGGGAGATGCTTGGTCAAAGACTGAGAGGCTAAATAGACTGTGGCTAAAGAGGAGATGACTGCAGCTGAGATTAATAGCAATGGGGAACAGGTGTAGGTGGGCGTGGCAGGACAGAGGAGCAGGAACTGCTTGTGGAAAAATACTGGGTGAATGAAGTGGCGGTACAGAGGAACAAAACCAAATCTATAATATATTAAAAGTAATCAAAGACATGAATCCTGACACGTTTTGTTCCTTCTTGTGTAGCAGCTGTCTCTAATTCAGTCACTTTCACTGTTGGTCACATCTGCAGCGACATTTCTGACACATCTTCTGACATTCCCAGCATACCCAGAAGATTTTCTCCCTTCTGGTATCATTTATCTTCACCCAAATATTCAGTCCACACTCTGAAGCTTCTTGAGTTCCTAGCAGATATTTGGTCTTTTTCATATTTCAGGAAAGTAGTTTTTATTAGCCTGGTTAAAACCAGCCCCTTGTCCTTCACTTTGAAGGGAAACAAAAATTGAGCGGAATGGCGTAGGAAGGCAAGGGCCAGGCTAAGTTTTCATAAAAGACAGAATGTATTGATTTTATTATACTTGCCACCCAATAATGCTTCTGTTTGTGTCAGTGTATGCATAGATTTTAATGAAACTTTCATAAAGCAATCATCGGATGTACCGATACAACTGATTAACTTTGAGTCAACTCAATACAAGATGGCCGCCACAGCCACTGACCTTAGAAAATACAAGGATAGCTATGACTAAGTCAATTTTACTACAGATATTGAGCTAAAATTTGTCATTTTATTAATTGAAACAGATCCTCAACATATATTGTGAGCACAAACTTATTGCACAAGATCTTTGGTTTTAAAATTACAGTTTTGCCATTATTTATTTGAAGTCCCGTAAAGTCCTGACTAAATTATAAGATAAATGTGAACTGTTTCCCTTTAAACTGTGTCATTGAGAAACAATGTTTAAAATCAGTTGTTTTCCATTAAAACAAATTTGGGGCGCATGTTTTTTCTGTTTAAAATCTGACGTCTTGAGAAATATTGTTGTGAAAAGTTGTTTTGCCCTGTTGAACTAAAATTCCGACCATTTTCTCACTTGATTTCATCAACAGATGCTTCTCTTTTCATATCCAGGGCAAAGACTTGCTTTAATGTTTTTGCAGGAGGCCTAAAGCCAGCATACCGTTTGGGATGACTTCCAGTTCGACTTCTGTCCAGACTGGTTAGATACGAGGAGACATAGTCTTCACCTCCCCTCTGATAAATTTCATCGTAGTCAGTTTGCATTCCTAAGTTCATGTTTTTACTTACTGTACTTCTCTTTTCTTTTCCCCACACTTGCAGCCAAATTTGCATGACATCATTCCGAAGGGTGCTGAAAACATACCCACGAGGCCCTGCAGGAGAACCGGGGACCAAGGGAGTAAGAGGTAACTCACCAGAATAAAGAGTCCATTATTAAAGAGGGGGAAAAAAAGTATTTGCATCAGAAAAGTATCATTCCTGGCCAACGTGAAGCTCTTTGTCATGTGCTGCAGCAACACGAGGACTGAAATGTGGAAAATACTCTTCCTGTTTTGACTCAGTGATGAGGAGAGATTGAGCACAGACAGATGGGAAAAGAGAGATTTGATAAAAAAAAAGGGCAATAAATATTACTCGATGGAAAAACAGGGGACATAAACTACTGAGCTGGAGAGGAGAAAAGGGACATTCTTTCAATCCTCAAAGGGTGTCTCTTTTAAAGGTCTAGTGTCTAGAGCGACAAAAGGATTCCAGTCGGGAGCGGGTCAAGACCCACAGGACTGTTGTTGGAGGTTCATTCCTCTGTTTTCAAGCTCATAGGGCTTGTTTGAATCTCAAGCCAATTATCAGATTAAAAACTCTCACCATCCTGTGAATAAATCCCTAAATTGGTTTGAGAAACTGTCGTGGGGCCCTCACAGCAGGTTGGGCCAGACAATTATTCCAGACCTAATATGTGGGCATGAAAATGACAGAGGCCACACACTGATTCAAATTTATTCATTTTGTTGAGTAAAAACCATAGTAAAAAATGTTATCTGTTTATGTTTGACCTTACTGTTTGCTTAGGAGTTAGGAGTTGATAATGAAATTCACTGATTAGCTGATTATAAACAGGTGCGTCTGAATCAAAGCTGATGTTTTGGCTGCTGGCTGCTCTGGAGCAATCAGGTCTTGATTAATACACTGCCTGGCCAAAAAAATTGCCACCAAAAAATGGTTACACACTAATTTATTGTTGGATCGTCTTTAGCTTTGATTATGGTGCACATTCACTGTTTAGATAAGCTTGTCACAAAATTTATTTCTATCCAGTGTTGTATTAATTTTTCACCAAAGTCTTGCATTGATGATGGTAGAGTCTGACGGCTGCACAAAGCCTTCTCCAGCACATCCCAGAGATCCTCAATGGACTCGGTGGAGTCAATCCATGTGTGAAAATGTTGTCTCATGCTCCCTTAACCACTCCTTCCAGCCCCATGAATCCTGGCATTGTCATCTTGGAATATGCCCGTGTCATCAGGGAAGAAAAAGCCCATAGATGGAATAACCTGGTCATTCAGTATATTCAGGTAGTCAGCTGACCTCATTCTTTGAGCACAGACTGTTCTAGACCTGCCCAACTGCAGCAACCACACATCATAGACCTGAGTTAAAACCAAGTGGCCACTTTTTTTTTGGACGGGCGGTGTACAAAACCATGCTGACAACATTTCCCCATAACCCTAGCAGTGTTTCTCCTACACAGTGGTTAGCGTGGTTATGCTAATTAGCTAATAGCTAACAGCTAAAAGCGGAACACTTTTCTTTTTTAGTGGATTTAATTTTTCACTAACTTTGAAAACTTTGGCAGACCAAGTAGCTTCTTCTAAATTAGTTATGTCATCTTTAAGTCAGCTAACAGCTAACTAGCACAGGTATAAATAGGTATAGAATTGGTAAAGTCTATGGCTGTGTCTCAGTTCAGGGGTTGCAGTGCTTGTAGGCCGCAGGCCAAGGAAGCCACACCCTTCACAGTCAAGGTAGGTTAAATCTAACTGTTGTTAAATGTGACGGTCTAGTCTTTGGATGACATATGTTTGTGTGACCAACCTGAAGTCTTTGTTTTCCTGTTTAGTTTGCTGGCGGCACAATGAATCCTGAGCTTGTCGGGCGTACAGGCTATTCAGATGCATCAGATGTTTTCGGGGTTGTATGGGCCGCATTTGTCGGCTACATGAGAAGGAGCCCACAAAATGGGACAGCCTACGGTGCGATGCAGTGATGTAAGTGGCCTACAAATGCACACTTACACCAGTACCACCAGTCTTCAGCTCAAAGGAGACAAAGAGGTGTGACACAGACTGACAGTCGTCATAGCGGTTAGCGATTAGCTGTTAGCGTCCGCTAATTTTCTGATGTTTTGCGGTTCAGCATTAGCAAACCTATGTTTTTAGTTAGTTGTGACCACCACTGCCCCTAACATTATCCAAGGAGGGCGCCTCGCCCCGCCTACAAAACTTCACCACACCACTGCCTCCGAAAGTTCAGCTACATCTGGAGAGGCAGCAGAGAGCAACTGGATAAGTAAACCTCCTTGGTGGAAGGAATAGTAATAAAGTAACAACCGTTGCTTTTCAATCCAGAAAGGAGGCTCAGAAGTTGTTTCCAAGATTTAACAGTGTCATCGTTTTTCACTGAGGAAGGTTAAGTGGAAAGCATGTAAGGCATTTGTCAGTTCTTTTCCATTTGTGAAAGTTCATGCTGAGGTCGGGCTCAGAAAAATGACAGAGGCAGAAGATTTCATGCAAGTACTGTAAGAAAAGCTGGTTCAATCTGACTGTTTTTGGAGAAAAAGTCTTGTTTCATTTGCAAACTACACTGCAAAACACTGTGCTGTGCATCAACAAATATCTTCTCATTTCAAATAACCATTGGAAGGAAAAGATGATCAAAAATTAATCAACAAAAATTTGAAATACTGAATAGTTCACTCTGAAGATTACAGCTGTTGAAGGTGGTTCTTAAAGCGTCATGGCTCGTTCTGTAAAATGTTGTAAGCTTTATTTAGATGAGATGACAGTATATCAATTTTTTCCTGATAAATACATATTTACAGCCCAAGGAAAGTGTATTTTATTATATTTGAGATAATTTTCGCTGCAGCCTCTATAAGTAAATTTGCTCACAGTGTGAACTTGTTCCACTGGAATCCAGCTACCAGTGATTATAGTTATTAAAAACAATTCAATCAAACTCAGAAGACATTTAATAAAAGTCAGACTTTGAGCTTCTTTAATTAGTTCTCCTCCTCTGTTTCTCCTTCATCATCCTCTGACAGAATAATAAGGACTTCCCTGAGAAGTGGTCAGATGTTGATGAACATGACAGCTTCTTCTCTGGGGGGTGGAAACAGAGTTTTCTGTTTTATGAAATGAATCATGTTGGAAAGTGTGATCACGTGTGGGACAGTCTGGTGCGGAGGAATGAGAGGCTGACCTTCAGGACTTTATGGTGACGATGCAGAAACAGCATATATGAGCTGAAGGCTGAGTTGAGGGCTACCTAGATAAACTAAAGGCTAGTGAGATGAGCTAATGACTACATATATGAGCTGAAGTTACCTAGATGTGTTGAACCCCAGAAATATGAGCTAAAGGTCATCTAAATCACCTGAATGATAGCTAGATAAACTAAAGGTTAATTAGATGCGCTAATGGCTACATACAGTATATAAGTTGAATGCTATTTAAATTAGCTAAAGGGTAGAAAATCTGAAGGGTAGCTAGATAATAAAATAAAGGTTATATAGATGAGCTGAACACCTGAAAAGAGCTGAAAACCAGCTAAAAAAAGTTATCATTTTTGATGCATCTGATCAACCCTACATTGTTTCCCTGTTGCGTTAAATAAATTATAATTGTTTCTGAAATCCACCAAAATGGGCCGAATATAAAAACATAGACCAGATTTTTGAGGAATGAAGAAATTTCTGTCACACCTGAGGTGTGGACCACTTGTGAAAGTCTTGATTTTGACCGTTTCAGCTTGTTGGTGTAACATGAGACCATTTTATTCACACGTCCACAACACTGATGCATTCTGGGAAACCCTTCACACTGAGCAGGTTAAACCTGAACAATTGAGTTAATGCTGACAAGCACACCGAATGGGTTTGGAAATAAAAAGATCTATTACAACCAGGTGTTTTTACATTTTTACAGCCTTCAGGCAGGTGGTCCTCCTGAACCTGAATCTGGAGACGTTTCTGACAAGAAACCATCAATCAGGTTTAAACAGGATGACAAATGGAGAAAAATGTTCTGGAAAGTTTTTATCAGATGCTGTGAACTTTTCTCCCAAAACAGATTTTTAAAGCCTTCTTGAGGACATCATTTATCACCATCACTGTATGTTAAAATATTTTATCATCAAAATGACTTTAGGTTTCACAACACAGTTTGAATCTAAGATTTAATGAGTTTTAATGCTTTAATAATTATATTTTATTACATTATCATTCACTTGTTATGACAGTGAGCTGTAATTTTGTTTTTTTAATTATAGATGCAGTTTGGATGGTACACTTTCTGATCATCAGGATACAGTAGCAGTTTATTTTCAGGTTTGTTTTTTTTTACTTTTTAACATTTCTGCTGTTTTTTTCACATCAAGTTCTGTCTAAATGAAAAACAAGCATATTGTGAATTATTTGCTCATCTGTGACCAGAACTCAGCAGAACTTTCACCTGTTTTCAGTGTTTACGTTCGACTCACCAGCTCTGTTTTTTTTATTAGTGAAACACACCCTAACCAAGGAAACAACAAAGAAAAACTTTAGATAATTTGTTTAAAGTCAAACTCAACCGACTGATCTTTGGCTCAAGTTTCGTACTTTCTGTGCCAACTCAAGAGGGGGGTAAATCCTCTTATCTCCCGCCCTGCAGGAGAGCAAATATTTGTAAAAATGTCGAGGTGACTCTTATCACATATGGATCTCCCTTTTTTTGTCAGGAAGGTTGAAAAGGAGGACAGAAGGAGTAATCCATCAACAAAATGAAAAGAAAAGAGAAAACCTCGGAGACTTGCAGTGACGGTGCAGAGAGAAGACACTTTCTGCAGCATCTTTTATCATTTTCCTCCCTTTTTTTATATCCAGAAAGAATACACCTGACACTGAATCTGTCAGCAGCGTGGGGTTTTATTAGAGGAGCAGGTTGGGGAGGTGTTCCCTCTCTGCTGACAGAGCCCACATTGTGCCAACAGCCTGACTCGTCTTCTTGTTAGGACATTCCTGAAAGCTCTGTCGCGTCTGACTGGGAGCTCTGTGTTTTTTAAGCCCCCCCCCCACCCCACACACACCGGAGTGTCTACCAGCGCACCCCCCCATCCATGATCAGGTCAGGCCCAAACCTCACGGGGCAGACGGATCTGTAAGACTTCTGGTAAACAGAGGTCAAAGGGCGCCGGCTGCAGCTGGCGTGCTGCAACACTCCTCTGCCTGCCGGCTGCAAACTCTGAGCTGTTAAAGTTGGATTTTATTTAATTTGAGATAAGTCCTGGCTCAGATGGTAATTGGAGTGCAGCCGTGCCAGAAACAAGATTTTTCTTGCTTGGGTGTAGCTGTTGGCTACCAAAGCAAATGCCAAAGGCCTGTTATCATACGAGCACATTTAATCTGTTTCTGAGTGGGTGAAGGTGAAACAGTCTCTGATGTGGAGCTGAACTGCCGATATTTAAACAAGTTAACAATATTTATCAGTAACAAGCTTCGTGTTTCATTTAAACTGACGGAGATAACCACGTCTGATCAGTGATGTGGAAAAACATCCGTCATTCAACAAGTTATTGTCAAACACTTGACAATAACATCAATGTGTTTTATTGAAACGGCTGCTAAAAGGGGAAACAAGTGAAAGAAACACGACAGTGACTTCAGTGGAAAAACTCAAAACTGGTGGTTTTATACTGATAATTTCAGATTTTTAGGAAATAAATTAGACTTGTCTTATGTTAAACATGAACCATGATGGTGTGATTCATCCATACAAATGACCTCTACAAAATAAAAGCTGCTGAAGCTTCTCGCATCAAGTATTACATGTTTAGGTTCACAAACTCTGCTGATAATTCTGTTAAACACGATCAAACAAACAACATAAACAGTCTGAAAAAAACCAATTATACTGTTTTTGTTTTATTAATTTTATCATTATTGTATTTATTGTAAAAGTGTTTTTGTGAAAATGTTGAAAACATGATAAAATTTGTTTATATAGCTAAAAGTGAAACTTGTTCAAATTAAAACATGACTAAAAGCTAAAAATAGTAAAAAAGTCTAAAAGTTAAAACTTTCAAAACTGTAGCTATAAGCTAAAACTAGCAGAAAAGTACCTAAAAGTAAATTTTAGCAAAACTTGATAACTCTTGACAAGCTAAAATTACCAAAACAATAGCAAAAAGCTAAATTTAGCAAAACAGTTGATAGTAGCTACAATTGCCAAAACTACTAACCTTCAAAGTCAAAACTAAAACAAACAAATCTAGCTAAATGCTAAAGTTATCAGAACAATAAATAAAAAAATAACAAAACAACAGCTAAAACCTAAAATATTTTGAATGAAACCTGGGGTAAAATAAGCTATAACTAAACTAGCTAAGAGCTAAAAATAGTGAGTTTTCTGAAGTAGGTTCCAGAAAGCACAAAGTATTTCAAGGATCTGAAGGCATCACTAAGCATTTATATGAATAAAAACATAATGTTCAATAATAATAACAATATAAATAAATTACTCAGCAGTCATGATGTCCTGAAGGAGCTGAAAGTTTTCTCATCAGGTGAAATTAAAATGAAGCAAATAAAAAGTGGAGGAAATTATCAACAAGAAAAGAAATGTGAATGTTTATGACTTCTTAAATCTGTCGCAGCAAAATCCAGTGTTAAATTTAACACTTTTTCTGAGTTTATATAATTCTCACAGATTCTGAGTTAAAATTACACTTTGAAAAGTGTTAATATTCACTCTAGTGTTAAATATTTGACACCCACTGGTGTTCTTTAATTACACTGCATACTGTAAGTGCACTTTTAACTCAAAATTGTGTTATTCTCTTTCAAAATTTTTCTAAGTTTTTGGGTTTCCAAAAAACTACATACAGCAGCTTTAATGTTAAAATTTTAACATTTATTGTGTCAATTTATGACACAGTATTTATATTTTTAACATTAGAATTGTGTTTTTTAATTACATCAATGTGTTAGCATTTATTGTTTTGTTTTTCAACACATATAAAGTGCATTGTGCTTTTAGTAGCCTAAGATCAGTGTAATTTAAATACTATAAGCTACAGAGCAGATGGCACTCTGTCTCAGACTTGAAGGCAGCAGTACAATAAAGTCGACTGGACCTTCACACACCAGGAAGTACCTCTCACTCATGGTGTCAATTTGTGACCAATAACACAATATTAAACTTGAACAACTAACTAACTTGAACCAAACAACTAACCAGATCAACTCATTTTTACACTCATGAACTTCTAAGTCATAAACATGCAAACACATCATTCTACAAGATTACCCAGCATCCCTTGCTTTGTTCATGTGGCATGAGGTGGAAGAGGGAGGGGCTTTTCAGAATCAACACTACATTGTGTTAAATAACAACACTGTTAAGTGTTATAACACTTTTAAGTGTTACTTAACAGCGAGCGGAGCTAATTTAAGACAACACTGGTGAAATTAACTCTGTGAATTAACGTTAACAGTGGCTGTCAGTTAACTCAGAAAGTGTTAAAAAAACACTTCACGAGTTCAAATCAACTCTGAAAAGTTTAACACTGAAATTTTAACACTGGTTTTTGCTGTGTATATTTAATTTGATTTCTGTAAATCATCTGTGCCTCTGACTTGATTCATGACCCAGAGGGGGTCCCTGACCCCAGCTTTGGGAACCACTGATCTGGACCATATAAAGTAAGCAGAATTTAGATAAATCCATTGTTATTCTTATGTTAATAATTCTGCTTTGTTTCATGACAGTTTTTACTTAAGAGATGGAAAGTGGTTTAAAAAAATCTGAGGTTCAAATATTAACTTTCCTTTCAAATAATGTTTCATGATCAAACAAATTAAGCATTTTTTTTACACGTTACAAACAATAAAAGTGATCAATCTTAAATTAAAGTGTTTCCTGTCAGCAGGTGGACGCCAGGTGGACTCTAGGACCCTGAGGAGGACCTCCGCATGAAGAGAAAAGTCGTCCTCTGAGCAGATCCTGGTTTATTTCTGCCTCTGGGTTGGAGCTGTGCGGGGTTACAGAGCTCTGCTCATTCACTCCACACCTGTCCTTTTACTCACACAAACTGAGAAAACAGGACTCCCACTCCAGAGAGAGAGAGAGAGAGACCCCCAGAGATTAGAGGAGGTAAAACAAACCTGCCAGCAGCTGATATCATGAGGGAAACCTGGAGAAATGATCCTGACTGGGATGTAAACACAGACTAACCTGCAACCAGGAGGTAAGATGGGGACTTGAATGGTTTTATTGAATATTTAATAGTAATATTAAATGTATTTCATCAATCTGTTTTAGATTTAAAAGGTGGTTATGTGATTTTAAGGGGTAAACTTTAGATTTATCCTATTTTTCAAAGATAAAAACCTCTCCTTATTTTCTAAAACTTTATCAGAACCTATTTATTTATTGTAAACTCATTAAATCAGTTTCTAAACAGAAATATTTAATTTATCATATATTAATTTTAACAGCTTGGTTAATTCAACCTTTTTTTGCCACCTGAAGTGTACTTCTGTCTTCTTCATGTCTCTAATATGAAGTTCTTGTTGCAGAGTTGTGTGGGGCAGCTCAAAGGTGTGTGGACATGCCCCACCCTGCCTTTTGTCAGGAATAATGATCTGTGTTCTTACTCTGCCTTGACTTGCTGCTTTTTTCACTTTTCCACACACACACACCCACCTGCTCTGCTGTGCCACAAGAGCCTGGGGATCCACGCTCAGAACCAGGGGGATCAGGGATCTGGTTTTCACTGCTGACGTCACCAATATCTGATCTGACACTCGTTATTAAAACAGATAAATCTCTCAGGGCATCAGTTCTGTTGCAGTACTTTAAATCTAACCTGGCTTTTTGTTTATGACTCTTTATTTGGTGCAAAAACAACCATTAAATCGCTTGTTTCTCCTCTCCCATCAGCCGAAAGTCTTATTATCCTTTGTAATTTATAGTCCATGAACAAAAGGGCCGTTGTTTCCTCCTCGCCACACCAGATGAAGTTCAGACCTGCACTGGAACGCCGGGGTTTGTAAGGTGAACCTGTTTCCAAAGGCGCTCCGATTTATAACAAAACTGTGAAAGAGTTCAGATTTACAGAGGATTGTTGTTCATCGCCCACAGCCACGAGAGGTGGGAGATGTGAGGTGCCAAGTGTAAAATACAAAATGTAAACGCATTTTCATGATGTAGTTCACCTTATGAGTTTAAAATTATAGTTAAAAAATTCCAGTCTACATGTGTTTTGTGGATTTGGAGAAGGGGTTCGACCGTGTCCCTGTGAGGGGTACTCTGGGGTACCAGGTCCTTTGATACGGACTGTTAGGTCCCTGTAAGACCGGTGCCAGAGCTTGGTCCGCATTGCCAGTTGTAAGTCAGGCTCATTTCCCTGTGAGACTTGGACTCCCCCAAGGTTGTCATTTGTCACGATTCTGTTCATAACTTTTATGGACAGAATTTTTGGTGCAGCCAAGGTGTTGAGGGGATCCTTTTTGGTGATTTTAAGATCACATTTCTGCTTTTTGCGGATGATGTGGTCCTATTGGCTTCATCAGATCTTGATCTCCAGCTCTCAATGGAGAGGTTCACAGCCGAGTGTGAAGTGGCCGGGATGAGGATCAGTGCCTCCAAGTCCAAGACCATGGTCTTGAGCCGGAAACCTGTAGGGTGCCTTCTCCGGGTCGGGGAGGAGGTCCTGCTGCACCAAGTGGAGGAGTTTAAGTACCTCAGGGTCTTGTTCATGAATGAGGGAAGAATGGAGCGGGAGATCGACAGGCGGATTGGTGCTGCATCTGCAATGATGCCGGCGCTGTACCAGTCTGTCGTGGTGAAGCGAGAGCTGAGCTAGAAGGCGAAGCTCTCCATTTACTAGTCGTCTACGTTCCTACCCTCATCGATGTTCACGAGCTTTGAGTAGTGACCAAAAGAACGAGATCGTGGATACAAGCGGCCAAAATGAGTTTCCTCTGCAGGGTGTCTGGACTCTCCCTTAGAGAAAGGGTGAGAAGCTCAGTCATCCGCGAGGACTCAGAGTAGAGCGGAGCCAGTTGAGGTGGCTCCTGGACGCCTCCCTTGTGAGGTGTTCCAGGCACGTCCCACTGAGAGGAGGCCCAGAGGAAGACCCAGGACACGCTGGAGGGGCTATGTCTCTCGGCTGGTCTGGGAACGCCTTGGGATTCCCCCGGATGAGCTGGCCCAAGTGGCTGGGGAGAGGGAGGCTGCTGCCCCCGCAACCCAACCCCGGATAAGCGGAAGAAAACGGATGAATGGATGGAGTTTAAAAATTCCCACTAACATATTGTTATTTAGCTCACTTTTCTTACATTTTTCTCATTTTTACTAATGTTAAATTATATCTTCCCATGAATGTGTAAATATAAATGTAAAAGTCAAAGCTTAAATGTTGTGACATCATCATCCTGTGACATAAGCTAATTCTGCTAAAGCTACTAATGCTGCTAACCCTAACGCTTCTAACGCTGCTAATGCTGCTAACGCTAATGCTTCTAATGCTACTAATGCTGCTAACGCTAATGCTTCTAATGCTACTAATGCTGCTAATGCTAATGCTGCTAATGCTACTAATGTTGCTAACGCTAATGCTTCTAATGCTACTAATGCTGCTAATGCTACTAACGCTACTAATGTTGCTAATGCTACTAATGTTGCTAATGCTACTAATGTTGCTAACATTACTAATGTTGCTAACGTTACTAATGTTGCTAACGCTATAAATGTTGCTAATGCTACTAATGCTGCTAACACAGCTAACACTGCTAATGCTACTAATGTTGCTAATGCAAGTATTTAAAATTTTATTTCAAAATGTATTCATTGAAAAAAAACATGGATGGTACCTGTAGTTCTGCTGTTTGAAGTGCAGCTCGGACACCGGCCACCACCACAAGTTTGATGTCTTGCATTAGCAACGTTAGCAGTGTTAGCTTAAGTGTTAGGATTTAATATTTACGTATATTTAACTTTTGAATTCAAACTTTTGTAAAAAAAAATTAGCTAAATGTCAGAACCGTGAGCTAAATAACAATAAAATATTAGGAGGAAAATTTTAACTAAGATTTTGCATTAAGTGATTTAAATAATGAAAATGTGTGACACATTTAAAATTTAGGTGTAAATTTGGCCCCCCATAATCATGTAACTGTCTGTGCATGTGTTTTATCTTTTAACAAAACATTTAATGAAGAGGTGGAAGAAACACTTAGGAAGTAATCATCAAATGCAGATAAATAACTGATCGACTTTTGGAGTCTAACTGATTCAAGATGGCCGGCACAGCAAAGAGACCTCGGCTACAAAAACAGCTACATCTCTGTGAATGTTGCAAACAAATGAGCTAAAGTTTAGGTTGGTAGTAGCTGAATGTCAATCACAACATATAAATGTCTCTTTCAGTGTTTTCCATGATGTCGCCGTGTGTTGTCTCCCTCGTCACTCACCTGCTACTGCTCCTCCATCACTTCCCGCCACTCTCCCTGTCCCTCCTCCTCCACCCGCCGCCCGCCCACGTGCCGACGCTGGTCCCCCACGCCCCGACGCCCCTCGGCCGCTCCAGCTTCAGCGCCCAGGCTCAGCTGGACTTCACGACTCGCTGCAACTCCAGCTGCTTCCACCGGGGGGAGCGGGAGGAGCAGCTCACCGACAAGCTGGCCTTCGAGACGCTCTACGCCGACGGCTTCCGCACTCTCACCACCGTGGAGGTGGAGGGTGATGATGAGGAGGAGGATGACGGAGGTGGCGACGTGGATCACTTGCCTCGCCCGTTACCCTGGAGGCGGAAGCCGAGGCGAGCGAAGCGGCAGATCTACGGAGCGGACGGGCGCTTCAACATCAAAGGTGACAACTTCCTGTTGGATTACCCGTTCTCCACAGCCGTGCGCATCTCCACAGGCTGCACCGGCGTCCTCGTGTCCCGGCAGCACGTCCTCACCGCTGCCCACTGTGTGCACGACGGGAAGGATTACGTGCACGGAGCACGGAAGCTCCGGGTAGGCTTCCTGATCCCCCCGTCCATCAATGGCACCAAATCCGGCCTGGTTTCTAACAAGAAGCCTCTGGTCCGTTGGGTGCGTGTGAAACGTACCCGTGTACCAAAGGGCTGGATCCAGGGCCCTCAGGAGGTGGGCATGGACTTTGACTACGCCCTGCTGGAGCTGCGCTGGCCCCACCGCCGGCCCTTCATGCGCCTCTCGGTGGCGCCCTCCTCAGACGACCTGGCGGGGAATCGCATCCATTTCTCCGGGTTTGACAGCGACCGGCCCGGGGAGCTGGTGTACCGGTTCTGTCCCGTGGAGCAGGAGTCCAGCGACCTGATCTACCAGCACTGTGACGCCCGGCCCGGGGCCAGTGGCTCCGGGGTCTATGGACGAGTGTGGGACAATGATCTGGAGCGCTGGGAAAGGAAGGTTATCGGGATTTTCTCGGGCCACCAGTGGCTGGAAATCGACGGGGAGAACAGGGATTACAACGTGGCCGTGCGCATCACGCCACTGAAGTTCGCTCAGATCTGTTACTGGGTCCACGGAAACCGGCTGGATTGCACTCAGGACTAAGATGGATCGTTAGCCGAAAGAAACACTAGAGCTAGGGGTGTAACGGGACCTCGTGCCGCAGGATTTCCTGTTGAGTTGAAAACACAAAATACCCCCCCACCCTGCTTATAAATCTGTTGAAATTAGGATAGAAGGTTTAAACATGTCAGACACAAGGACTCCGGGGCAGGCTGCTTCTTTCTTTTTCCTCTACAGCTACGTGCTGAAAGGAAGAGCTGTCCCTGTTGCTCATTTATTTAAAACAGAACTGACTTAATGCTCGGTTCAGGTGCTGATTTATCAACTTTGAGGCTGAGATAATTAAGTTTGACCATTTTGTTCATCCATCTGAGTTTGGACTAAAAGAGTTGATTAAACTTTGAGGTGGAGTTCAAAACAAGTTTGACTGAACTGTTTCCTGAGAGTCTCCCCTCCGCCTCCACCTGTGTTCATCAGTGTGAGCAACTTTTTAGCAGTTTGTTTTTAAGCTTTTTTGTTGTGATAAAATGTCTCCGTTGGAAATCAGCTAAACATATTAAAAAAGGGAGATAAGAAATTCTTGCTGATACTTTTTTATATATTGGAAAAAAAAGTTTCTTGCTTCATGTGAGAACAAATTGGACCCTCAGTAAATCGATGTTCTGAGGTCTGAAGAGACTCGTGAGAAATCCAACATGAGAGAGGTCAGTTAATTTGAGTTTGTGGCCAAAGCTTTTTTGTCCCTCTTAAAACCATTGTTAAAACCTAGCTTTCATCTTGTGACACGAGTGTCTCGTTACACCTCTGAGAGCAAAGAGTGACTTGGAACAATACAGGGTAAAACAGGCGTATTTCTATGCAGAACTTTTACCACTAAAACATATTTTAGATCCATTTAGTGCCTGTTTAAAACGGTCTGCCTGCATGAGATCCATCACCACTGCATCATTTGTCATTGTTTACAAAATAACTGAAAATCACATTTTTACTCAAGTCAGCAGCAGATTACGGTCCTCCACTGTGGATAAAAGTAATGAGGCTTTGGTAAGCCAAGGTGTTGGGGAAACCACCTTTTATCCACATTATTCATTCCTGTCTCAATAAAACTAAACATAAAACTGCTTTTGAACATTTCAGAGAATATACTCTTGCAGTAGACTGATGACAGAAAAAAATTATATTTTTTGGAAAAATGCTTGATATATTTTAATAAAGAGATTTAAGCATCTGTGTGGTCTGTCAGTAGCACTGGGCTGCCCTCTAGTGGACCTAAAATGTATTACAGACTAACTTTTTGAGTCACCGGTATGGTATCGATGCAGATTATTTTGAACTATTAGAAAAAAGTATGTAAAAACTTGTTAGTAAACATATTTACATTTTCTAACTAATTTATCTTTAAGCATTTTAGAAATTTAACAAATATGTATAAAAAAGTCAGAGTAGAAAAAGTCAGTAGTTTAGTGCTTTTTATTAGAGATAAGGAGACGATACAAAACATCCACCATTCAGTTTTCAGTCTCAACACTGATACATCCTTCATGTACACATCGCTCCCCACCACACCATCATATCACCGGAGGCTTTAAAACGAGGAAATCTTGGTTTTAACAAGTACGAGGAATGTTGTGTTTTTACTACATCAAATACTGTGTTCTCTGACACAGGTGGAAAGAAAGAAAAAAAAAATCACTCAAGTTTTTCAAATTGCATATAAAAATAATAATAAATGAAATAAGAATGTATTTAATTATGATCCCACAGAGGTTTTCATACTTTTGTGCAATCGAGAGTGAATTAGTTTTACTACACCTAATTTCAAATTACACGCACACACACACACACACAAAACTTAAGTTTGGCAAGGAAAAAAAAAGTAATAACTGTCAGAATTCAGTGGTTGAAAAAGAAAAAGGTGAATTTTTGTCCTTTTCTCTGCAATCTTTCAAGTGGAACCCAGAAAAAAGAAAACTGATGTTAAACAAGATCAAGTGCGTTTTAAACTTCATCATCCTTCCTCAGCTGCATCTTAACTGTTTTCTTTATGAGTGTTTTGTTCATAAACTTTATGTTGAAAGAACTGGACCAACCGTCCGCCTTTTTAATTTTTTTTTCTTTAGATCAATTGTCATTTAAACCCTAAACCCACCCGCTGCATCCCTCCCCGAGAGTCCCACAAATGATGCTGGTTCTGCTTCTCCAAACCCAAACCTGAATGAACATCTAAACCCAACAGATGTGTCTGAACGGCTTCGATTGAAGCCGGAGAGGAGGGGAGGGGGATTTATATAGGGCGTCCTTCCAGGCTGACAACTGACGAGCCGCCAAGCTTCTCTGCCAGAGTGTGCCGGTCTTTCAGGTCCTCCAAACCGTTCACCTGCCACTCGTGTTTGATACCTGGAACACAGAAACACAGATGAGTCTGTAGAGAGACAACAGCAGGTACTGACAGTGTGGATGCTGCATTAACACCGATGAGCTGATCCTTTTTTCTTCAGTACGTTTTACAGCACGTATCTCATTCTACACTTTTTGTGCCATTTCAACAATTCGTATTGCAAAACTTACAGCTCCTTCAAGACTTTTGGTATATCAGCTATTTATACTTTTTGAGATATTTAGCCATTTTTGTTCTCATTAAAAGTGAATGGTTTAAACGATGAAGATTGAATGATGATGGATTTTTAGTACATTGAAAACAGCTCAACGTACTAAAAATCCTTCAACATCATTCAATCTGCAATTCTCACCTTTTGTTCCGTTTTTTTACTTTGTGCTAATTTGAGCTTCCTTCAGCTTTTTTTGATAATTTTAGCTCTTTCTGCTCTTTTCAGTTGTCTAAATTATTTTTTTGCTCTATCAATTTTTTCTGCAATTTAAGCTACTTTTGACATTTTCAGCTAATTTGAGCTTTTTTCAGCTAAATTCTCCTTTTTGTGTACTGTTTCTGTTTCTTTGTGCTAGATTCTGCCTTTCAGCTACCTTTTTAGCTACTTCTCTGCTAATTTAGGCTTTTTTGGCTATTTTACAATAAACTGAAAAATGTTTAAACATCTATTCCATCTATTCAATCCATGTTTTCTGCTAAAATGTTTTAGCATTAAGCTTTCACGTAGCACTTTTGCAGAAAATGCAAACTCTAGTGCATATCGCCCACCACATTTCATGCTAAGAGTTTTAGACTAAACCATCGGCTCAAAAACTGAAACAAAAGTAATTTGACTCCTTAAATATTGTCTTTGGTTCATGTTGTGCCCCACTGCTCCTTACCTTCAAATTTCCTCTTAATAGCGTCCTTAGAACTGGCGTAAATCATTTTGCTCTTAAGAGGAGCACTATCTGGAGCCCTGTAAAAGTGAGAAACATTTCAGCCTGATGTTGTTTATATGAACGTCATAAAGCAGTTTCTGTGATTATGTCTGTCCTCACCAGAAAATAAAGACGAGGTCCTCCTTCTTTGTTTCCTTCGTCTCGTATGTCGCGTCATAAAGCGCGTACCGGCAGTCGTTAGGGGGAAGCATCTTCACAAAATCCTGGTAGGGGTCCTGAACGGTGGTTCCCACGTCACCCTGCAGGATCTCTTTGCCTTCATCCAGAACGATGTTCTTCAGGTCTTTGCTCAGGCAGAACAGGATGGCCTTCTTCCTTTTCCTCTTCTCATCCTCGTTGGCCTGAGCTTTACGCACCTTCATGTCATTGAAGACGGCGATGACTTCATCTGTGACTTTCACACCGGAGGCCTACAAGAACAACAAGTTATTCACGTGTTGTTGACATACAACAAACGGTTACAAAACTAAATCTAGGTTTTTAGATCTAGAACATTTTACTTGATTTATCAAAACATTTTCAGATCTACAAACATAAATTTACCATTCAGCTATAAAAACAAAACAAAAAAACAAAGATGAAATGCTCTGAACGTCAGCAGCCACTGAAGCTTTTAAACTTCGCAACTTGTGTTTCAGAAACTGTCTGCAACAGATTTGGAGCATTACTGATTTTAACTAATTATTACTGCCTGCTGACAAAATATGAACAATGTTTTTAGCCATGTCTGGTAAACCTTGGATGTATGTCTACAACTGAATAGTTCAAGACGGCCCCTGCTGCAAACTGACTGTAGAAATAAAAAATGGCTCTGATGATTTTACAGATACTGAGCTAAAAACTGATTTGCAACACTTCCTGTGTGAGACTGAGTCCAATGTTATTTTCAAGGTATGACCAAAACAGCTAAAATCAGTCATTTAGAAAGTAATGTAGACTAAAACTCTGGTGAGTGATTTGCATTCCTTTAAAGGCACAGTGTGTAGGATTTGTTGTTTTCAGCGACATCTAGTGGTTGAGTCATCCTCCCTGGTCCTCCCCCCACCCCCGCTTCCAAACGCAAATGAGTTGCTACGGTGTCTCTCAGGTGTCAAAAACCTTTGATGATTCCAACTGCGATGTCTACCAGCAGCTTCAGGGCTAGTGATGTTTCAAGTGGTAAGATTATGAGCTTTAATAAGTAAAATTATCCTAACTACAATGACAGACAACATTACATTTATAGTATTACAACTAAAGCCGTTTTTGACGCCGCCACCGCAGTTTGTCCTTCATGAGCCTTCGTAGACAAGATGGCGGTTGCCTGTGTGGCGACCCGTGACCATGGAGATATAAACAGCTTTTTATAAGGTAAAAATAACAAAACAAGGTCTTTGTCTGCAATGATTAGACATGTTTTTTATTATTGTCATTAGTGATTTTCTCAATTTCAGCTAAAAGAATTGACAAAATCCTACACACTGTGCCTTTAAGGAGGCCCTTCATGTTTTGTCGCTGACAACTTATCTTAACTGTGAAACTTTAGGAAGTTGGTAAAGTTTTAAATGTTTGACAACAAATCAAATATTAGTTTAATCTTGAAGTCTGCTTTACAGTAACGTGGCATTTACTTAAAAAAAAACAGCAACTTTGCTCAAAAACTGAAACCAGTAGTTTATTTTTTAAACAAGCTTCTTGTGACAGCTCCTGAACAATAAATGCAGACACAACAGAGCTGAGAGGGTGTCGTGTGACTCAAGAATTCTCCTCAGCAGAATGGCTCACAAGATACACTGAAACACACAAAAAGGTGTGGTTTTTACACTTTATTGGCACTGGAAGGGTTCAGGTGTGTGAAGGCACCTTAAAATAGTCTTGTGTTGCAATAAAACCATTATTCAGTCAGCTGCACTTTTATAAGATCAGGCAGGAGGAGCAGTGAAGACTTCTTCTTGTACAAAGTCCACTCTGAATACAAATAATAAATGAGCTAAACCAGCAGGTGTGTGCACACTTTGTGACTAATGTTGGTAGGTTTAAAATACAAGTTCCTAGGAAAACAGTCGTGCATTTCATCGATGACCATGTGGGTGAGACTCAGAAACAATAAAGCCTCTGTTTAAATACAGAATATAAATGAGTCACAACTCCTTCAGTCAGGTCTTCTGACTCTGTTTAGACTATCACAAGAGAACCCAGTCTGGTGAGAATAAAACTGTTATCTACAGGCTCTGGGGGAAAAAAAAAACAATGAGAAGGAAATAGTGGGCCTGGAAAGAGGGAAAAATACAGAAACAGCAAACCAGCAAGAGTGGACACTGTGTTTGTTCAGGGCGTTAAAAGTTGGTAGCAGATAACATTTCAGACTAATAATTAACCAAACAACCAATATTTCTCCTATCAGTGAAGTAAACGTGATAATTGGATATTTATTACATGCCCCCCCAAACCAAAAAAAAAACTTTATATTTTTCTGAACTCATTATTATGGCACCAATCATTCTCATGATGACAGCACACGAACAAAACCATGTTTACATTTACATTTCCTGCTGCCCATCATGACATGGCTTGCTACAGTGTTTCTGCAGCTGACATCCTCCTGGTGATCGTCACTATATTGTCACCTTATCTAATCTTAACCATTTATGTCCTCTGCAGGATGCAAGGTTCAAGTCTGCAGTTTCTATCCTTTAAGATTAGAGTGCACAAACTTTATCATGGAGGGAGGGCAGGTTCACCAGCCAACAGGCTCAAAAGGTTTATGGTCAAACTCAAAGTAAATGTGAAGAGGGCAGAGAAGGAATGCACATCGCCTGCTGCCTTTTATGTCAAGAGTTTTAAACTAACATGTTTTGTAGGGGTGTAAGAAAATATCGATACACTGAAACATCGCGATATTTCATTTCCCGATACTGTATCGATATTCTAAAGCCCTGTATTGATTTTTTATTAAGGTTTAAAATGTCAACTTTCCTGCCAGCCGTTCATTTTTATGTTGTAGTTCAGCCTCTGACCACTAGTTGGCAGCAGTGAGCCAGCCATTTGGCAACTCTACCTCTTGAGGTATATGCTATTGTTAAGTGTTGGGTGACCATATTGTAAATTAATATTAAAAACTAAAAGCTACAAAAAATATATTTTCAAACTATTTACTGTCAAATTTAGTCTAATAATTGAAAATATGGATGAAATAAGAAATATGAAACAAATAAAATAAAAATACATACAAAGCAGAACACAGCTAAATGTATCAAAAGTATGTCTCTGTAATATTAGAATTTTCTGAGACAATGAATTTTGGTTTTTCATTTTTTCCCCTGTAAGAGGTTTTTATTCAATAGAACTTTTGGACAAAAAAAATCGCAATATATTGCCTTGTTTATAGTATCGCAATATATCAGGATATATCGTATCGTGACCCCCTCTGTCATGATATGTATCGTATCGCCAAATTCTTGCCAATACACAGCCCTAATGTTTTGATGATGAGGTGACAGTTGTTGCTGTTTTGGTTAAATGATGTGCTGTGAACAACACTCAGCTACTACCACATCAATCCAGCGGTCCATTAGATATTTTGCTAACACTTCAGACAAACGAACAATAACATACAGAAATGGGAAAATAACATTATTGCAATAACAAGGCCAATTTGCATAATTTTATAATATTGGTGTACAAAATCTGCATATTTGTTGTATTGATAGATTGTTTTATGACTAAATGCCTCAGGACAGTAATAACTGTTGGAATGGACACATTTTTATTTACAGTCTGTATAAATTAAATGCGCATCTAAATAAAATAAATGCGCAGCAGCAACAATGAGCTGCAGACACTCCTTTAGCCCCAGCTAGCTCACCCAAAGCTGCCACACTGCTGTTACATAATGCTCATAATTTATGTTTGTTCAAATGTACAGCAAGATTATTTTTTTTTAAACGAGCCATGTCTCAATAAAAACATTTCAGTGCCGTCGTATAAAAACGGTACGAAACAAAATGGTCTTTGCACCAAATCCAGGGTGGGGCCGTGAATGCAGCACGTTTGCGCTAACTGGCTATAAAAGGCAAAATGAGACTGCCCGACAAAAATCACTCATTTTCATTTTCACCATCCGTTTGTTATAAGCCAAGAATTTGTCCGTTTATAAATAATAGAGATAAAAACGGGGCTGAAAACGAGCTGATCCCGCAGCGGACGGTGAAAGAAGCCCCGTGTTTCAGAAAAGACAAAGACAAGAAGAGGAGCTGGGGGGTGGAAATCTCGGCTAGCTCCAGCCGTAAAATGGGTGTCGTTTGCCCACTTTCCCTTCGCCGTTGAGCCACGGCTCTCGGCTGCACCTGCTGCGGGAGCCGGGCTCCCGTGCGGGGATGAAATAACAGAAACACGACGCAGTGAAACCGCAGGAGCGGCGTCATGGCAACGCCGAACCCAAGAGACAAGAAGACGCTGTTTTCCCCCCTTTCCGACACGAAAAGATGGACGAAATGGCGCCAGTTGTTTTGAAGGATTTTTGTGCAACTCTTCTTATATCGCGAAACAGCAGCATACAAGGCGTAACGGCATCGCTAGCCGTACACGGCATTTCTATAAAACGACTACATTGTGCTTTGTTACACCGTTTATAAGCCGCCTCACTTCCACGACAGCAAAGCTACCCGCTGCCAACATTAGCCTGAAGCTAGCTTGTCCTGCGGCATTCCAACCGGCGTGCCTCGATGTTTGTGGCTTAAAAAACAACAAAAATATCAGGGAAATAAACCAACATAAATGACTTATACGCGCGCCACACTTTAAAACGATGAGTACATAGTAACAAAACCGGAATCATTTGACAAAAGTGATGGAAAAAATCCAATAACCCTACCATTGCAGGAGCTCTGAACAGGTCAGCGTCTGGGAGAAAATGAATGGAGCGATGACGAACTGACTGCTGCTCGCGCTCTGCGGGAGCGCGCAGGTTGCGACGTGCTCGAGCCGAAGCGCGAGCGCGACGACCGTAATTCCTGCTGCTTTGTTTGCTTGCAGCCATGAATTGTGTTGTTAATGGGCCGGGAGTTGGTCTGATATTTTTTATTATTTTATCATGGCGAAAATTAATACGTAAACAAACAGAATTCAACAAAACATTTTACCAGTGTTTTTAATTGATATAATAATTTTCTTTGACTTTATTTGTATTTTATTAAATCTATAAATCCCAGCTGGCATAAGAGTTACTGAATTACAAAATCAAAACAACCACATGTACTTTTGTTTAGAGTCCTTTTTGGAAGGGAGGAAATTCTCCACCATCCATCCCTTTCTCCTCCTCCCCTTCATCCCGTTTTTGTTGAACTCTCTTCCAAATATGGAAGTGTACGACGATCAGCGGCGGTCTGTGCACGCGCCCCCTCGCTCGCGGCGCGAGGAGGGAGGGGCGACGACGCTGATCACCATATAAGGAAACGAGGGGACACGAAAATTTACGGTTCCAAGATTATTCTGTCCAAGACAGCAGCATCGTGTTGAGGGGAGGGAAGTGGGGCAGCCGGCTGGGAAGAGGAGTGAGGAAGATGAGGGACAAGAATGACACGCACACAAACAAATATTTGTAGCTAGGATACAGACACACATGTCTAGGAGCAGGATAAAACAACATGGAAACTGAGCTGCATTTAATAAGAGGGATATTTAGGGCAGACCGTTGTGTCATATAATAAAATGACACATCAATAACTGCTGGTTGTTTTAGATCAGAATGACCCAGAATACTGGGTTGTGCTTTCCACCAAATAAATGTGATCCATGCTGGCAAAATGAGGATTTTTTCCAATACTAATTTATTTTGAAAATCTTATTTTCTAAAAAAAAAAAAACTTCCACAGTTTGTTGAAAGTTAGCGGTTTATCACCCCAATAAGCTAGTTTTGTTTACAGAGTGCCTGTCTGAAAACTCTTTCATTGGTCTAAATGTCATCAGGTATTCCAACCCTTTAAGGGAAATCCCCAAGCTTTACAATGAGGCCAGTTATTTAAAAGGAAGTTCCTAGCTTAGTCAAATTTATAAATATGCCATCTAACATAAATTAAAATCACTGAATTTAATTGAAATTACAAGTTTTTTTTCTTATTTCAGTCTGAGACTAATTAAATTCACTGCTCAAAAAAATAAAGGGTGCACTTAAACAACGCACGCTAAGTCCAAGTACAGTAAATCAAACTTTTGTGAAGCACATTCAACTCTGTACAGAACAAAGTACTCAATGCAAATATTTCATTGATTAAGATCGGGAGTTAGCGTGCATTGTTTAAGTGTTCCATTTTTTTTTTTTTTGAGCAGTGTATATTGTCCAGTTTGGTTACTGATTTGCCACCTTGCAGGTCTTTGTAACAGTGAAGCTGAGGATAGATTTTACAATAATTAATTAATAAATAAACAGACATGGACTGGTACAGTAAATGTGTCAAGCTGTTTATTCTTTATAAAACTGCATTTCAAGGCCACTGAACCACTGCAAGAGATGATTACATTGGTTGTTATGATAATGCATGCATTTATTTTATTTATTTGTTGATTTTTTTTTTTACTTTTGGAACAAGCTGTGAGCAAAAAGGACCAAAAAGAAGAAGTGCAAAAGTTACTGCTCGAAAGACATCCTGAAGTCTCCTGCTCTGTTGGAAAAGGACAGATACATGAAAGTGCAGAATGATAATAAAAAAATAAATAATGAATCTTTAATTGTTTACATGTCACTGATTTTTACCCTGGTTTCTTAGGACTTGCATATTTAGTTTACTATAACCACTGAGAACAAAGCTCCATTTATAAGCTCTTCTTTTGCCAAACATGACTGGTTGTTTAAGTGCTGCACTGCTGCCATATTACACCACAAGGAAGCCGCTTCCTTCCTTTTCAAACCAATCTGTGGCTTTTTTAAACACATTAAAGGCCTCAAATTTAATTCCTCCAATCATATTTATTTATTTATATTTGCTTTTTGACTCATCCATACGGAGCCCGCCAGGGGAAATGGGGGAATTTTTTTCTTTTGCGTTCTCACGCAGTACTTTTGCGTTACCTCGTAATATTGTTTTGCGTTCCCACGCAAAAAATTGTCTTGTATATGAATTGAATTAAATCAGACTTTTATTTTTAAAATATCCGGTTACCAAAACAGGATTCTTGCCACAAGTTCGTGAAATTGACATTGATGTTGCGTGGCTGCACTGTGTTAAAATATCGGTATATGACATACTTCCATGCTGTGTGATATATTCATTCTGAAGCTGAATTAAAGCAGTAGGCTTACTCGCTAATGGTGAGCAAGTGAATTTGTTAAAAAACCGGCAGGCACAACAGTGTTAAACGACTTTTGCGAGGTAACACAATACTTTTGCGTGGGAACGCAAAAAGAAAAAAAAATCCCCCATATTCCCTCGTGGGCTCCGTACATCCAGAGATGTTGGAGAGCACTGCAAAAAAATTAAAATTAAAAAAATCACAGTGCTTTAATCCATGTCCAAATTTATTCTGAGGCTGTTTTAAGAAGCTCGGTTAGACCCCACAAACAAAAAGCTACACAAATCCACTTTGTAAAACCTGAAAAACACAAACGATTGGTCAAATGTTTGCTCCACATTAAAAACAATAAAAATAAATAATATTAATAATAATAATCTGCCTAAATTTACCCCCCCTTTTTTTACTTTCTGTAGTGTGTTGTACAACTTAAGACACTTGGAAACAAATGTGGAATGAAAGCTTTATTTTGTGTACTTATCAAAAAAAAAAGAAAAGAAGAAAAAAAAAGACTAAACTGCTTAAATATCCTATTAACTAGCAGCCGCAAAGCGGCAATATGAGCTTTCTGTAATAGTGAAAAATGAGTGCAGCACTGATAGCTACCTTTAACACTGGAAGTCATTAGGCTGAGATAAAAGCACAAGTTAAACGACTATATTTGTATTATTTTTGACCTGGCCTTATAAATCTATTAACACACCTGTGCGACCATCACCTGGAGCTGCTATAGTCATTTACTGCTGGTTTATTTTGCTTTTTGGTCTGTTTGAACATGGTTCCAAGTCAGGGTGCACACGAATGAAACATATTATTTTTGTGTTAATGGACATGTCTATTTTTTCCTCATTTAAATTCAACAATAAGTGTTTCCGATTACTCCCTAGTGTGTACTTTAGCTTATATCCACTCACACATGCAACGAATGGAGTAAACAGAATAATTAAAACATTTAAAGCTAACTCTTTGGTCGACAGATCGTTGCTCAAAAAAAAACTTCCTATATTTCACAATAAAATGCATTCTCAAGCATTGTGCCTATTGTTTAGTACTACAGTGTAACATTGCTCTACTAAGGAATGAATGGAAAAAATGAAAAGACTTTAAGTACATGCAGTATTTTAAAGTTTAAATCTGCAGCATCGTTATGCATAGAAAGTGCATATAGTTTCTCCCTCCAGAAGGAAGAAAATCTGTCCTACAGGAAAGTTTTGACCGTTTTAAAGCAAATCTATGAACAGAATGGAATGTTTTAAAGTTGTGAGTAAAAACCGAAGTAGAAACGTTACAAAGTGTCTTAAAGATGAACAGCAGAAGCTCAAAAGCAGCCCAGCTACCAGCTATATTCAGCCGCAGTTATTAAAAACTGAATGATTATGAAGTTTAAGGGTAAACAGAGACTCGTCTTCGAAGTCCGACTTGTAAACTTGTGAAAGAACGGCAGTGTTTTATGGAAATACGACCGATGGGAGGATGTTGAAGTCACTGCCTTTGAGCCCTGGACGGGCTGTAAGATCTGCAGAACACAGATGCTGGTGTGTTGTTACCCAGAGTCCATGTGGTGGAGGGATGATAAGGCTTTAGTGCTGAACGTGTGCTTGTGTCGTGTGTTTCAACTGAGAGGCTGTGAGAGGTTCAGAGGTCCTTCAGCGGGATTTCTTCTGCTTACTGACGTCTGCGCCTCTGTAGTTGTTCAACACCACGGTGGCCTGGAAACAGAGCAGACACTTTAGTCGAGGGCCTGCTGACTGAAGAACATTATGTAATATTCACCATTACAGATATTAAAAAAACTGCCACAAAAAAGAAAGAAAGAAAGAAAGAAAGAAAGAAAGAAAGAAAGAAAGAAAGAAAGAAAGAAAGAAAAAAAAGAAAGAAAGAAAGAAAGAAAGAAAGAAAAAAGAAAGAAAGAAAGAAAGAAAGAAAGAAAGAAAGAAAGAAAGAAAGAAAGAAAGAAAGAAAAACAAGTTTTGACTCAAATTTTAGATTCTGAAGGTGGTTTCTGAACATTTTTTAGACTTTTACAGCTGATAGTTTCACTTTGCAATTAGCCCTGATCGTAACTAATCAGATCATAATTTACTCATTTAGCAGTTTTATAAAATTAATATGTTAAATTATTATTGGAATAATGCATTGCCTTTTTTGTCTTGTCTGTTTTTTGTTTTTTTTTGCTTTTTCAATCTGTCCTTCTGCTCATTTCTTCTACAAATATCTTAGCTAACGCTGAAAGTTCAACTATTATTCAGCTAACTTTCACCTTTTTCAGCAAGTTTTAGCCAAGTCATTCAGTATTCACAAAGTATTTTTGTAAAAAAATCTAAATTTTCTTAGTTGTAGTGTAATCTATTTTAATTTCAAAGCTAGAAATTATCTAAGAGGGATTAAAAAGGAAGAAACCAGCCGATAAAATAACACCAAAAAGAGATGAGAAACTTCAGCAGGACCTCATCTGAAACTAAAACTAACCTGTTGCAAGGATTTATCATATTCAAATCTAAATTGTTGATATTTTAAAAAGGTCTAGACTCAAAAAAAAACCCTCTATTGTTGTAACTTGTGAGAATTTCCTCCCTTCCTGTGTGAGGGGCTCACTGAACCTGTCACTCGTTATTAGCTCCCTCTAGTGGCGACCAAATGATCACCCTGTTGATGTGTTTTAGACCTTCTCTCTTCTCACCTGCTCGAGAGCGACACCCGCGGCCTGGTCGATGGCTCCGCCCATACTCTGGTACCGGCCGGTGTAGCGGATGAAGGCCCACGCCAGCATGGCCATCATGGCCACGCCCAGGGAGCAGTCGCACACCAAGGCGAAGGTGGTCAGGCCGACGAAGAACAACACGCCGGACAGAATGTAGAGGAGGCAGATCACCACGAAGAGCACGGCTGGAGTTCGGAAGGCGCTGAAGAGGTTTTTAGCCTACGTACAAAAAGAAAAAAAAAACTAAATAACAGAAACAAACACATATTTATTATTATTCCCAGCTGAAAGCAAACAAACCCGACCTCGTTCTGTTTGCTGAAAGACGTCCACGTCTCCTCCAGCTCCTGTTCTAGCTGGTGTTGGTAGCGATCACAAAACTCCTGCCCGCCCATTTTCTTGGTGGATGCAAAAGTGTGGATGGCTTCTCCGTAGAAAAAATGATGCTTCTCCTCCAGCGACTTGGGATCCATATAAGGCAGGTCTCCTCCACAAATCTAAACATGACGATAAATTTTCACAAACATATTTTCCAAATAGCTATAAAATACCAGCAAACAATGTAAAAAAAACCACAGTGTTATTGTAAATGAACCAACTCACCTTGTCCATGTTCTTGTTATACTGATCTTTAGCTGCTGCCACGGCTGCCAGGTTATTGGCCTCTGCTGTAGCCTGGTGAATAAAATGAACACACCTCAATGATATTAAGAGTCTAAAACTCATTCTGTAATCATATTTGGACTCACCATGAGCATAGTCTTTGGTTGTGGAAGATCCTCTCCTTGGTAAATCTTAATGTAGGCCTGGTAACACAGAGAGAAGACGTCTTGATATAAAGGACCATCCGTTTTTAAGGTTCAGGAGGTGATGAGATGATGAAGACGTATTTTTACCTTGAAGAACTCAAGCAGGCCTCTGCACGTGACTTTGTTTCCATTTATTTCTTTCTCAGCCAGGTATTTGGGATGCAGCAGTTTGGGAATCAGAACCTCCAGCTGCTCTTTGAAATCTGGGGCCACATCTGACAAAAGACACAAAAATTCAATGAGCGATCTTTAGCATTCTGCTAAATCTAAACCAATGTAAACTCAGACTAGTTTTAACATTAGATATTATTTGATAAACATTTACTTCGACGAGACTGTAAAAATACTGTAGTCTGTTTCGTTTTTATAAATTTAAAATAAATTGTCACAAGGACGTTATGTGATTTATGCTGCATAGGGATGGGAAATCGTCCCTATTTTCAGATCATAAGATCATGGTCACTGGCTATCACTGATAGATGATCCAATCGGCTCATAAGGTATGCGCAGTTACGTTGTTAAAAAAAAGGCAAGCAGTTCTGCTTATTATAAGTGACGACAGCTTTTTTTTCTGAAGTTGCATGTAAATTCCGTGAGTCGCAGGTTGCAGTTTTTTGGGCTTATTTTTTAACGTGAGTTGCTTATTTTGTGCTTGTCTTTCTTTCCGAATGAGATGCTCTGTTCCTGTTGAAGCAGAACACAAGGAGTAGTGGGTTTGTCCCTCCCACTCCCTCGTTTCCTGGTTGTCGCTCCCGCCCAAGTTGAGTCGGCACACAAACACACACCAGAGTCCAGAGTGATGGGAAATAAGCAGGGGTGAGGGAGTGCGATCGGGTCTGGTTCAGAACTGGTTAAAGTTATTTGTTCAAATGTATGATTGTGATGGATTATTAGTTTTGTAACTAAACGTTATAATATAGCACTATTTGGGTCACTTGTGGCGCACCAAAGCAAGAAGATAATGAGAAGAGTGACGTGAAGAGGAGCTGCGCATGTTGGCGCAGACTCCAAAAAAAATAAAAAAGTAAAAAAATAAACTAAACAAACAGAGACGCAGCACTGTATATTAATTATTTTATTCCCACATTTGCACAGATCACAATGCTGATGATTAAAACATTTTAATTTACAGAAAAGGGCGCATTTAAAATTTATTTTACATCCCTGGCACGGCATTTAATTAATTAATAAATATCGCCCTTTAAAAAAAAAAAACTGCATTCCAACCCTTCAATCGCCGATAGACGATCCAATCAAAAATCATGCCATCCCTAGTGCTGCAAAGCATTCTGGGTAAATAATGACACTAACAAGGTGCTTCAGTGTGAGCTCTATCCGGCTTGAACCTTAATTTTGGACAATGTCTGACGTTCAGTCTTTTTAAAGTAAACCAGAGTGAGAGGAGAATGTAGAAATGACTCAGTCTGCTACTGAAAATGATGACAGAGTACAGCAGAGCTGCTTCAATGAAGGAAAACCTCAGCTTTAGTGTTTAGCCTTTGAGTTAGCTCCTGAGCTAATGCATATACAGTATATGGCCGTAGATGCTATAGCTCAGGAGCCAACATCACATGTATTTTAGTAATATATAGCGTTAACTCTAGAGCTAATTTATTCATTCATTTTTTCATAAATTTTTATTCATTTAAAAAAAACAAAATTTTATACACAATAAAAGTAAAAATACAAACACAACGAAATGAAGGGGAGCAGAGAGAAGAACAAAATCTTATACCTGCCCCCTTTTTCCTCAAGTATAAATTCAAACAACAATAATCCTCTAAACTAAATTTACTAAACTTCATGTTTGTTTCAATCAATAAATTATGCAAAACATGGAAACTAATACAAAATATAATGTTATTCTCACACATTATAACTTTGTAGCCTTGATGCTTTGTGTTTTAGTCACAACTATAATCCATCACCATAATCATCCCCAGAATGCATTGCCTCAGTAACAATATGGTGACATGACTAAATGAAAAATGTAATAAACATTTTTTTAACTTATATGTTTTATGGGGAAAAATACAACATATTAAGACCAACATGTGACAACAGTCAGATCCCTTTAAAACAAATCAGTCTTACCACGAAGCTGTCCTTTAAAAGCAGGATGGGTGGCAACCTTCAGCCCAGGGTGAGGCAACAAGAAGCAGGAAAGATTGGTGAAGCAAGAATGGATGTGTTCCCTCACCGTCTGCAGCTCTTCATGTTGAGCTTCTTTCACCTTTAACCACAAAAGTAAACATTAAAACCAGTCTTTAAAATCAGCTAAGTGCAATTCCATTGTGGTTTGTTTATTATAACTGGGTAAGTCAAAAGACAAACAGGTACCTGTAACCGTTTATCCAAGAATTCCTTCCCTCCTTTAAACCCATAGCTGTATTCGTAGGGAAAGCTCCAGTCTCTGACCAGAAACATCAACGACTGTAGGATGATAGAAACGGTCTCAACACAAAAAAACAAACAAAAAATATTTAACAGAAACATATAAAGGCTTAAGATGAACCTGAAAAGGCTTCTGAAAGATCTCATCCATGGCGAGACGACCGTATTCTGTGAACAGCTGCAGGAATAAAATCACAAAAAATGATTTCAGAAATACAAAACACTCAAGTTCAACTTATATAATGCAGTAAAATGATTTAAAAAACTGTAGAAAATTTTATACTGTGTGCTTTATAACAGATTTAGTCACTTACATTTCAACTAATCCTTTAAATGATTTGTTATAAGACAGGATATTCTGGTGAACTGATGTTTTTGTTGTATTTTCTTGTTATTTTCAAAAGGCAGAAGGGAAATAAAACCTCACAGCTTTATGAGATAAAACCTGAAAGTCTGAGACTTTCATGTTTTCTTGACATGTTTCCTGATCCATTTGACATTTCTGTCGACGACAAAAGCTTCCAACAGGGGGCTAAAACAGGATGCTGTGTCCTTTTCAGTTTGCCCCACTCTGTCTCAACACAGTCAGCTGACTGGTGAGGTCTGGTTTTCCAATTTGCTGAAGACGAAACGAAACTCTGAGTCATGAAAAGTCACGAAAAGCAGTAAAATGGAAGCTTGTCAGCAGCTCTGTTCTGAGTTAGACAGAATCAATGATTCCCATAGAGTTCTTCATCATTTATTTACATTTGCCCTAAAATATTCTGAACTGAAAAATTGAAACATTTAAAAGTCCAAACAAGCAAAACTGGACCATGAGTCAAATCAGTGCTTTAGTTTGACTAATGAAAGGTTGGAGCTGCAGAAAACTACAACTTCCTCATCCTCCTGTGTTTTTACTGATGATACCCCAACAGTGACTCAACACTGTAACTTGTGATTAAGTGGTTTTAGCTCAGAGTCTGGGCTGCAGACACTAGCCTGCTAACCTCTGCAGCAAAGTCATCATAAAACAAACAAATGTCTCTGAAATGAAACATTCACTTCTGTTTCTTTCTTGCTCTTCAAAAGTTCAGTTCATTTTTAATTTTTAAACTGTTTCTGCATTTAAATGACTTGAAAACCAAATTTAACCAGAATGATTTAAACATAATATCACCAGAGGGGGCTGCTTAAAGGGCTTCCCTCATATAAAATGCAAAGTCTTTATTTACTGTAAATTATTTAGATCTGATTTAGTGCAGCTCCTCAATAAAAAGCAGCAAGTTTGAAACCACAAACATAAGCTGGTGAAAATTATTCACCTGAAGTGGGTTTTTTAAACATTAATTTAAAACTTTGTAATGAAACAAACTGACCTGCAGCTGCTGCAGATCGTCCTCTTGGATGTTCTGTGAGATATTGTAGATCTACAAAAGACAAACCATGACGGCATTAAAAAATAAACATGAGAAACGTTTGATTCAGAGGAAGTCGGAGCCGATGAGTCACCTGAACGGAGCTGGTCATGGTGCTCAGAGCAAAGATGGTGGCGCAGTCCTTCACCGTTGACTGGTCATCGAACGCTCCCTGAGTGTCCATCAGAACCACAGCCACCTGCAGCAGAGGCAGACCTGGGGTCAGATTTATAAAACTGGCATACGCACAATATGAGCCCAGAACCTTGCGTACGCCACTTTTCACGCCAAGGTTGTGATTTATAAAATCCAAACTTGACGTGAAAATGTGCGGTGCCTCACGCCAGCTCTGACCCATGCGTACGCTCGTTTTGGAGACATGAAACTGCGACACAGATGGTGAGGTGAAGAATTAGAGCCACACTGTGTCATGATCACTGTCAGATATTTAATTTACCTTCAGAATCAGACTTAGATATTTATTCAACTTTATCATCAGCTTTCTTAACAGTAATTTTTATGCTTCTGCTGCTGAGCCATGAGGACCTTTGAAATAAAAAAAAACTTAAATCTTAAATAAAAGTTCCCGTGCGCAACTCCATTCATCTGCTTCCTCCTCAGATGGCCCTGACCCACAGACCCCTCCCTGAAAAGAACAGCAGGACATCAAAAACTTTGGATACACACGCAGGGCGCATCCACCTCACCAATGTGAATGTTATAAGTGTTTAAAGTCCGTGTTTGTCGCGCGAGGATGCGTGCGAGCGCGCGGGTGGGGGGGAGTGTCTGCCGCGGATAACAGAGCAGGCAGGAGGGGGAGAGGAAAAGGAGAAGAGC